TCACGAACCAATTAAGCAAACTAATTGTCTCTTGCAAACTCCATTCCTCTTTCGCTCCTCTTTTATTTCTTCTGGGAGGGGCCATTTACCCTCCACCTGTGGCAGTACTCCCAAGTTGACCCCTGTTCTTTAGCTGCTCCCTTCGTCTGACAACTCTGCACATGCGCACACTGGGAACAGGCTCCAGGTGTTCTTCTGCCTCACTGATGTCTGACTCTGAAGGCAGCTGATTACTGTCAGACTGGCCTCCGACACAGAGCCCTCATCAGAGCCTTTCCCAGCCTTCAGGACTGGCCCATGTTCCTCCCCAACCTCCTCACTGTCTGAATCTGCTGCCACAACAAGGGGCCTTTGACAATGTCTTTGCCGAAGCTATAAAACTTCTAAAGAGACTCAGCTTAGACAACAGTTTGATCTGTTTCACTGGCCCAAGCGTGGGAAAGGGACATGAATTCACATTCTTTGTTCCCCTCCCTTGCCTCTCCCTATTGTTCCTGGGAGTAACCTGCCCCTTGGGGGCAGAGACGGCCCTTTGGCTCTGGGCATCCCGAAATCCCCTTTGAAATGCCTAACGTAAACAGTCGTGTCTGCTTTTCCTTCTGCACAGGTGGAGACGGATCATATTGTGGCAGCTGTGGGCTTGGAGCCCAACGTGGAGCTGGCTAAGTCGGCCGGCTTGGAGGTGGATTCCGATTTCGGGGGCTTTAGAGTGAACGCTGAGCTGCAGGCCCGCTCCAACATCTGGGTGGTAAGTCTGGATGGCGTCACAAAGAGCCCCATTCAACATGTGGATCAGTCCTGGGACCTGATATGAACTTCTCAAGTCCCCACCCTCCAGCTTCCAACAGGCAATCCTCGACTTAACAAGCACAGTTTTGGAGCCCAAAATTTCTGTTGCTAAGCGAGGCAGCCGTTAAGTGAGCTTTGCCCCATTTTATGTCTTTTCTCCCCACCGTGGTTAAGCAGCCACTGCAGCTCTTAAGTTACTAAGCACGGTTGTTAAACGAATCTGGCTTCCCCATTGTCAGGAGGTCGCCAAAGGCGATCACATGAACCCGGGACATTGCGACCGTCATAAATAGGAGCCAGTGGCCAAGCGGCCTGAATTTTGATCGTGTGACCGCAGGGATGCTGCGACGGTCGTAAGTGTGGAACACGGCCGTACGTTCCCCTTTTGTTCAGCACTGTTGTAATTTTGAACGGTCCATTTTAAGTCAAGGGCTCCCGCTGTTCCTTTCCCATTTTCCCCCTGCAAACAAGCAAAGCCAGCTAGGGGGAGAGAAAAATTTTCTGGAAAGGATTTCCGTAGCCCGTCCTTGCACCACTGACACGTGTCAATCTCATGCTCCTTTTCCCAAATCGAGGAAAAAAATAATCCCAAAATGAAGCCATCTCAGCAAACTTAAAAGGCATCTTTGCTCTTGAATGTCGTCTTACCTGTCTCACCTTGCTCCTCCTTTTTTTCCCCCCTCCCCTCATACAGGCAGGAGACGCTGCGTGTTTTTACGACATTAAGTTAGGCAGGAGACGAGTGGAGCATCACGATCACGCGGTTGTGAGCGGAAGGCTGGCGGGAGAAAACATGACCGGAGCCTCAAAGCCGTATTGGCACCAGTCCATGTTTTGGTAACTTTTCATTCCTTTTTAATTCTTACAGTCCAAGGGGGCTGGACTCTTGAGAAAAATGAATAATCTAAAAATTAGATTACAGATTAACAGTTTTGGAGGGGGTCTTGTACTGTAGGTCATCTAGTCCAACTCCCCCCACCCGACCCAAGCAAGAGACCCTACACCATTTCTGACAGAGGGCAGTCCAGTCTCTTCTTGAAAGCCTCCAGTGATGAAGCTCCCACAACTTCCGAAGGCAACTTCTGTTCCATCAATTGATTGTTCTAACTGCCAGGAGATTCCTCCTTAATTCCAGGTTGAATCTCTCTCTCCTTGGTCAGTTTCCATCCATTATTCCTTGTCTGTCCTTAGGGTGCTTTGGAAAATAGCTTGACCCCCCCTCCTCTCTGTGGCAGCCCCTCAAAT